AGAAAACATAAACGAATTCGCACTTCAATCTCATGGCGGACAAAAGCTCTAGGACGACCACTCCAGTCATACCTACCGTCTTAATCGGGACCACTCCCATCGGAAAATTCAAGAGCAAACTCCATTTCGCTTGAAGATTTCCGATGTTCATGAAAACTTGGCTTACTTTAGACGGTCATGCCAGTAAAGTTCAAGCGAAGTACCGACAAGGACTTGTCAGCCAAACGATGCTTGATAAAATCTTTCACACATTTTGATCCTTCAAAAATTAAACCAGTACCTATCAAAGCCGTCTTCTTCCGAGGTCATAATGTAAGATAGCTAAGGTGGGAGATACAAGCACGCGCGCGGGGGCTTTCCCTTGACACAGTCAAGGCAGACTTCCGTGTATCGTGTCTATGCGAAAAATCTGCGTAATGATATACAAGTCATCCTGCATTTGAATGGACTTTGATAGGTTTGATAGGGGCATACTGTGGGTGGGCCGAAGGTTTTAACATGAAGAGAAAGGACAAATCTCTGAAGACCCGTGAGGCTTAATACGCAGGCTTGTAGCCCACGTAGGTCGACATCAACGGTCACTTCGTTCAATTTTGGTATCAAGAACTTTTCCAATCAAATGGCTGTTGGCGGTTGGAATGGTCTTCTCTGAGGGACGGAACGCGGCAGACCATCGACTTCTCAACATAGGTATTGTACTTCTTGCGAGATCTTTTTCTTGTGTAGATCCGACGATTGTCTCAGATTATGTGGTTGTCCTTAATTAGGAACGAACGACTTTCTCAAGGAGTAACTCGGGTTCCAGGTTTATAAACGAAACGACACGTTATCTTCAAAGATCTAAGGCCCAAAACCCACACGCACGCACTTGATGCAGATGAATGGAGTCAAATGAGTGTTTTGACTTACTTCATTGGTGCACACGTCTTTCCTTTTGCACTTTCATTTCTTTCCGTTTTCCTTTTCATATTTGTTTTTTTGGACACTCCCTCACATAACATGTACATATGCACATCGGTCACCGGCTATTAGATTTCTCCTTCTAGTTACTGTTGATTGGTCATCGGGCGGGGAGACCTCATTTAGGAGCCAATCCACGTGAGGCCATCTCATCTAACGGTGTATGTACATTCGGCACACATACATAAGGATTGGCAAAAGGACACTATAAGTGCCATAACTTGTGTACGGCGCTCACTTTGGTGCCATAACTTTTTTTCGGATCACTTTGGTGCCAAGTCGGAGGAAAAACGATCACTTAAGTGTCATAACTTTTTTTTGGATCACTTTAGTGCTAAATTTTTTTAAAAACGATCACTTAAGTGCTAAAATTTTTGAAAAACAAACATTTAAGTGCTAAAATTTTTGAAAAACGATCACTTAAGTGCCAATCTCCGGCGAGACTCCGGCGAGCCACGTCAGATTTCCGGCGAAAAATTGTGTACGGCTCCGGAATTGGCACTTAAGTGATCGTTTTTTAAAAATTTTAGCACTTAAGTGATCGTTTTTCGAAAATTTTAGCACTAAAGTGATCCAAAAAAAAGTTATGGCACTAAAGTGAGCGCCGTACACAAGTTATGGCACTTGTAGTGTTCTTTTATCCATAAGGATTATGCCAATCCACATGGGGCCCACCCTATCTCACAAGTGGAGTAACTTCCCACTATTTTGGCAGTATTTATTTAAGAACAGTCCAAAAATAGTATTTAAAAATTATCATTAGAAAAGTCATAAAATTATTTTACGGCGGTTAATTCCGTCATAAACTTTTTAATATAACTAATTTAGTTATCAACTTTTTGACGATTTATTAATTAAGTCCTTTTGACCAAAATTGACCCGTTGACATGGCTGCCAGTTGTCTTACATGGTACGGCAGGCGCCGATGTGAATGATTAGTTATAATTTTTATAAAATTATATGATTGTTGTATTAATTTTTTTTATTTTTCCCTTTTTTACTATTCATCTTTCCGGAAGGGCTAGTGGGGACCGCAAGTGAGGGTTGTGGCCCTCAACTGTGGCTAGATCTGGCCGGCAAGGGCCTCAAGCTCTTGCCCAAATTTGGGTGAGGACTGTGAAGCCCTCACTAGTCACAAGCACCGACTATAGCCTCGCCTGCAACCAAATTTGGCCAGCGACCCTTGCCGGCCACCATCAAGGCTCCAATGATCCTCACTAGTCTTCCGGGAAGATGAACGTTGAGAAAGAAAGAAATAAATAAATAAAAAAATAAAAAAAATACATAAAATTTATAAAAAAAAATGCAAAAATTGTCCATGTTAATGCTGATCGTGCCACGTAGAACAGTTGATAGCCACGTTTACGATTTCCAATTAATTTTGATCAAAAGGACTATATTGGCAAATTGTCAAAATTATTAGAATTAAATTGGCCAAATTGAAAAGTTTGGGACTAAATTGGCCGCTCTAGAATATGTTTATAATTTTTTGGACAATTATCCCAAAGTTTTCCACATAAACCTTTTCATAATATCTATTTTAGGTAATTTTTGACGTGGGTTGTCAGAGTATTTTCATCGAAAGCGGAGAGCTGGCAGAGAAATTATTAATGACAAAATTCAAGAAATCTTTCTAATTTGGAAGTTGGTTGTCGAAGTTGACCCCGGATAATGTCTACATTTTCATCCATGGATTGTGCTATGTCTAAACTTACAAATCCAATTTGGAGTAACTCTCTCTCTCTCTCTCTCTCTCTCTCTCTCTCTCTCTCTCTCTCTCTCTCACATTAACACCTAACACCCGATATTAGTTTAGATTAATAATGACGTGGACAACGTAAGTTGCATTCTTTGGCACCTTCTAGCGCAAAGTATATGCGTGCAACTTGCAGTGTGCAACTTCAAAGGCAAATCAGATTACATTATTACTAATTGAGTGTAGTTTGAGCTAAGCAAATCATAGATTAAGTCGCGGTGACGCATTCTAATTGGATTGTTTTCCCTTTAAAAATGATGGATATGGATCACTACATCATGTGGGTCATTAGTTAATTCATCGAGATAACTATTGGCGCAAATTTTTTTTTAATGTTCGCAGTGATTTATTAGAAACTATAATTTAATCTAGGAGGATGACCCCGTTCACATCTTGAAGATATTTCTTAATTTACAGAGGGATTTTGTATATGGGTGTTGAGCAAACCTATGCGTCGATGTATTAATTATTAAATTATTTTAAATCCTATGATGGAATAAGCATATTATATGGTATATGCTCATAATTAGACAAAAGTGGGTCTGACCAACCAAGCCCCAGAAGTGAGGCCAAGGCCAAGGGGATGTCATGGTCGGGGCGTTAGGGGAGCTGCCTTTTGATTAATTAATTATATTGGTAATTAATTAATGGGTAATTATGATTCAATGGTGCAATGTTTTTTTAAGTTTAATTTGCTTGGCTTATGTGTAGTGCTGTTTTTCTCGCATCTAGTATATTTTGTCGGCTGTTAAAAACACTTTGTACATCTATCGTTATACTGAATGAATATAGAATATTCATAAAATTTCAGGGTGTTAGTAGTATTGGTCTTAGCCAAAGCCATTTAACATTAATATCTCTGCATGAATCTCTTTCGTATATTTTATATTCCTCGTGTTAATCCATTCATAAAAGACAAATTTGCACAACAAAAAAATCTTCTTAATAAAGCTGGAGAAAGAAGAACATCAACTTGAAAACGATAGGGCTTACGTATTTATATGGATTAATATCACAAAAAACTTCAAACTGATACACGTGTGATAAATTTATTAAAAACTAATTTTTTGATCATAAAAAACTCCAAACTGGTATACCCATGATAAATTTACCTTCCATCAATTTTCTTTAAATTTTACTGTCAAATTTCTGAGTTAGATAACACGTGACAGTTGATTCGAGATTATAGGTGTAACAGTTTGTGATTTTTCGTGGTATTAATCTAATTTAACGGAGGGTGAATTTGTTAAAAATGTACTAATTTAGAGTTTTTTATGGTCAAAAAATTAATTTGGATAAATTTATTATAAGTGTACAGTTTGAGATTTTTATTATTTAATTTAGAGTAAATTATAATAAATATACAAATTTAAGGTTTTTACGTGGACAGCAACCTCCGGGAAATAATTGTCGTGTTAAACCGTCATCAGACTTGACTCATGGTTCGAGATTCAAATGATGTGATTGGCAAGCCCGCAAGGAAAGCGCGAAAGACATTGTTTATATAAGAAAACCCTAGAAACTTTATGTATTGAGGAACACTTCATGTTCGTTTTTCCCTGTCAGTACGCATTATCTTCCTCGGTCAATGCATTGGAGACAGCAGCTTCTGAAGCACCTGCACTTACAAGTTGCGTAGCATTTCCTGATAAATTTAGATAGAAGTAATATTCATTGCCGGCCTTAAAAGTAAGGGTGTCTATTTTTGTTGCTAAATCATGTTTTGTCTCTTTTCATTTGAATAATCCGGCTAGCTTAGCTATTGCTTAGAGCATTGAAACATCCGAGTACTTTCATGAGATTTGCGCAGTAATCTTATACCATATAATGATACCAGATTCGTATTGTCCCATTGCAAGGTATTGTCTGCGCTTTGACCCGTGGCCTTAAGGCTTGGCCGCTTAGCTAAACGAAATTATTATAAACTTATAGCTAAAACACTTTCCGTTCATCTAACTAGTATCACTGTATTAGCTAGCACTTAACAACTAATCTAAAACTTTTTTCACTATCATATCTCCAAGCTACTCTTCACGTAGACTATATGAAAAATATTTCTTTTCCCAATTTACCGATGTTAATGTTTCTCCTTTTGGTGTTGTGTCTATTAGTATTTTTAGGGCAAACCAAAAGATAATTTTTATTGGAGTGATTTTCAAGCAAGAAAGGACAGGAGAGAACCGGGAAATAAAAGAAGCAAAAGGACATGTCATGATGACATGGACCAAACCAATCAATAAAAACCAAGCCCCACATTGACCCACCACGCCCCCTCCTAACCAATCGGTCCATCGTCCCCTCCCCCCTACTTTATTAAACCCCGCACACGATACACATCTTCCATTTCAACAAGGCCAAAACCTAAGACGAGCCACACAAGCCACAGCGCTCTCCCCACCCCCCCGCGAGGTCCCCCGGCCTCCGCGCACCCCGGCTCGCGGGGCGGTGCTGGGGGTCGTCGCCACCATGCGCCCTCCCCACGCCCCACCGCCGCATCTCCAAGGAAACCGCGAGCTATCTCGTCAAGAACCTCGGAATGAACCCAAACCCGACGAACAAGTGCCCCTGCTCCCGTCGCTGGTGTCGCCACCGCCGCCACCATTGCTAAGGAATCGGTCGTCTCTGTACAAGCAAAAATCGTGGTCTCCGGACATGTTTCGGGAGGAGGCGTGGCTCCGGCGTAAGGGGAACGTCAGAAACCGCCACAGCAAGAGCGTCACGGATGAGGACCTTGACGAGCTCAAGGGATGCATAGAACTGGGGTTTGGGTTCAATTCGCCGGGGGCCGTGGACGACCGCTTGTCGGATACTTTGCCAGCTCTAGGGTTCTACTACGCCGTGACGAAGCAGCACAATGGGAGCGTCCCCAAGTCGGCGGAGACGTCGCTTACGACCGCGTCGGATTGCGATAGCGCGTCTCCCGTTGGCAGCCCCCACGCCATATGTGGCCCCAGTAAGAGTCATCTCTCTCTCAAAGGAAAACTCTGTGCTTATCGCTTTGCTTCTTTTACTATTCATAGAATCATGAAGATGCTTAAACCGCTATAATGATAAAGGAAGACAATTTTTTCGTCCTGGGTTGGTTTGGTTGATGGGGAATTGCGAAGATATCTGTGCAGGCGATGATCCTCAGGTGGTGAAGACGAGGTTGAGACAGTGGGCACAGATAGTTGCTTGTTCGGTGCGGCAATCGTCTTCCTAAGCTACCATCATTAATATCATCATCAACTGAGGTTAAACTGGAACTCAACCAGAGTCACAAAGCAAAACCCATGTGCATCAACCCAACCTGTATTTAGAATATTAATTCTCACACCGACCTTGCTTGCTTAGAAGGATTATATTAAAGTAGTGGGAAGAAGAAAAGGCGATAACTTGTACTGCTCGTGCTTTTGGGGCTTTCCTTAAAGCGGTGTTAAACCTTGGTACTGATGTTTATTAGCTGTCGGTTTTGATGTTTCCTTTAAGTGGGCTGCTTGGCTTAGGAAATTGTCAAAAAAATAGATGCATCCTGTTGCTGAGCTAAGTAGAGTTTCCTTGTTCTCTTTTGGGTTTGTTTAGGAATCTGTGTTATGCTTGATGCTAGCTCCATCATGTCTTTTGCAAAGGAGTAAAAAGTGACTTATTTCTTCTGCTAACCGACTTTTGTTTCTGAAATTTAGAATGAAAGGAAATGTGAATCTCGAAGAATTATGAAAAAATTCGGTTCGACTTCGTTTGATAGTGGAGTATAATGGAATGGGTTTTACATAGTTTGGTATAATGAAAAGTCAAGAGTGCGCAAGGCACCAAATTTATAGAATGAAATGACTTTTTGGTCATTATAAAAAAAGTAAGGATTGGGGTTCTCTATAGTCAAGGACAAATGAACATCAGAGAGCTACACAAAAAGACTAAATTACTCTAGTCTTTGTGAAATTCACTCCAAAATATCCAAACCAAACCCTAATCTAACTCCCCAGCGCACGTCAACCTCAGCCAGGTTGCCGTCTCTTGTCGCCCATGAGCCATTCTCATCTACCACGTGCATCTCTCTCTCGGCCCCCTTTATCAACAAAGACAGAGAGCTCGCGACGGTCGCAGCCACCGCGAGCAGGCCATGCCGGTTCAAAATCTACTTTAATACAGTAAAAATGATCGAGAAACAAGAATCGTTTATGCTCCGCATTAGGTTTGCTCCTTCTTGAAATGATAGACTTCGCACAACGATCGAAGTGCATTGTCTTTGAAGGAATCCATGCACCTTCTCATTTTCGGGGTTTTCCTCTATAGTAGAGATGGCTGATTCCTTAAGCCTCTCACGCGGGGCACAAATCACCAGGTTTTTAGCCTCTTTGGCTCTTAACCAAAAGAAGAGTGAAAGAGACGCAATACTATCAACCACATATATATATACATATATATATATATATATATATATATATATATATATATATATATCTACCAAATATAGGTATATTTTTGAAAGATTTGGAATCTTATCTTTAGAAGTTAGAAAATTTTCTATTTTATGTATTTCTTTTATTGCAAGTAAATCTTCCAGAATGTTCTCTTAGGTATATAAATAGCCAGCTAAGCTTAATGAAAATATACAACGATTTCTATCTTAACATAGTATCAGAGCCACTTAGGGCTAACGCCCCCTTTCAACCTTAGCTTTCTTCTTCTCTTTTTTTTTTTTGTTTCTACAAGGGTGGTCAATATGGCCCTAAAGAATCCCGCTGCCACCACCACCATAACTGCCATTACAAATCCCTCTTCTACACTTCCTCCATTCGGATCTGTTTATCACTTTCTTTCTCTACGTCTCACAGTATCCAATTACTTGCTATGAAAAGCACAAGTTATCCCATTTTTAAAGGGACAAAACCTCTATGGTCATGTTGATGGAACCAAATCGTGTCCCTCTGATGCAGCCTAAGCAGCTCTCTGGCAACAATAGGATGCTTCCATCATGAGTCTTCTAATTGCGTCTCTCTAAACATCAATTTTACCTCTCATTCTTGATAAACCAATCAGTGAAGCCATCTGGGATGCTCTCAATGCCTATTCTGGCTCAGCTTCTGCTACACGTATGTTCTTTCTTTATCTCAGTCTTCAACGTCTGCAAAAGTAACAGGACGAATCAGTTATTGATTTCCTCCAGCGTGCTAAATCCATTGTCGATGAGATGGGTGCTGCATGCAAGCCTCTTGAATCGGAGGATTTCAATGTCCACATCTTCCATGGTCTCCGATTTGATTTCCAAGACATTATTCTTACATTATTTGGCCGTTTTGAACCAATCTCGTTTATAGATCTTCAAGGTCTTCTCCTTAGTTACGAGACTATTAAGGCTTTCCAAAAGTTACAGATCTCTGAGCCTTCCTTTAGGCTACCCTACTCAACGAAATTCCACCACCCATCTTGGTTCTTCTTTCTCTAGTCATGGTTATTCGAGAGGTCGTGGGGGTTGCGATGGTTGTTTTGGCCGTGGTCGTGGTACCCGTGGCGCTCAACAGGGTCAATTATGGTGTTCCATCTGTCAACGTACAAATCACACTGATGCCACATGCTACTATTGGCCTCTAGGTATGCCTTATTATCCGCCCCCTACACATACCCCTTCGTACACTTCATCTTATCAACTCTCTTACTCTCCCAATGCCAACATGAGCCATGCCCTTCCCCCTCTTTTACTTACACCTACCAACACCCTACCTTGGTACCTTGACACGGTGCCACCCATCATGTCACACCTACTATACACTTCATCTCTTCTTACGAAGCTAATAATGGATCAGATCAACTACAAGTGGGAAATGGTAAGGGTCTCAAAATCACTAATATTGGTACTTCTTCTATACCTTCATCTATTTCAAATCTTTCTTCACATTTAAATGATGTTCTTCATGTCCTTAATATTTCTAAGCATTTACTTTCGGTTCAAAACTTTGCATTTGACAATAATGTCCTCTTTGAATTCTATCCGACCCCCTTTCTTGTTATGGATCTATTGACCAAGGAGGTTCTTCTTTTCGGCCTGAGTAGTGATGATCTTTACACCATACCGCAACAACCTTCAATGCCTACTGCAAGTTTTGCGGAATGGACTTCCGTGGATGGTTGGCATCAACGTCTTGGCCATCCCCATGAGCGTCTCTTATGATTTATGATCAAAGAGAATAATTTGCCGTGTCAGTCAACACGATTGAATCAGTTATGTACAGCTTGCCAATTGGGCAAGGCTAGTCGTCAGTCCTTAGGTTTGTCTCCAACTCGTAGTTTATTTCCGTTGGATTTAATTTATAGTAATGTTTGAGGTCCTTCTCATTTTGTTTTAACTGATGGTCATCGCTATTTCAGTATTATTTTTGTTGACATTTGCACCAAATTTATTTGGTTTTATCCTCTTAAAGTAAAGTCTGATGTTTACTCTGTTTTGCATATGTTTCAAGCTCCTGTTGAACGTCAATTTTCACAAAAAATAAAAGCCTGGGGTGGGGAATTTCATGCCCTCCCCTCCTGTCATGCCCCGAACCCTACGAGTGTGCTAACATCCCACTCACGGTCGTTATGAATGCGACGTTCCAGGACGCATCGCCGACCCAATCGAATTACTAACGAAGAAACGCATGCGAAAGCGAACTTATATAAACCCAAACAACAGTCATACGAGGGATAGAAAAGGGAGCACTTGATACACAAACGAACGAAGCCACTTTTATAAACATAAAGCCAACCTTAGGAAGGTTCATACATACCAGCCTTATTAGAGGCACTTCCTAACAGACTACTCACATACAAAAGGGATTGGTAGTCGGGTTAGCTTAGCTTTGCTATCAAAAAGGGGGAAGGTCTAAAAAGATGGGATATCCAAACCCATCGACCCTACTGATGGTAACCGAGAGGCAGCTCAGGATCGGACTCCATGCCGTACGAGTCGGACTTCGGATCAATCACTTCCCCATCCGGGGATCGAGATCCATGCAATCCCAGACCTCCTCTCAAATACCACCCGCAGGAGGTCCGTCAAAACCACGGATTGGACTAAATACCGCGTCCACTTCTCGGATAAACCACGCTACAAACCGACGAACCTTCTACCCGGGTAAACCCTCGTCGACCCAGATAGTGGACTCGTGCTTCTGGTATGCCATTCTGGACCAACTGCATACTCCGTAAACTCCATGTCTATGTCCATAGTCACGCCAAAATGCAAGGGAGGACGACTCATGGTCGGGGGTCTGAAATGGTTAAATAGCAACAATGAGAAAATCTTAAAAAGCAAACTTCCTAAGCCTCGCTTAGGATAATACGTACCTCCGGAATGCCTTAACATGCAATTCTAACCCAACCAAGCATACCACACAACAATCACAGGCATTCTTACCTTATCTTGGCACATACATGCCCTGCACATTACAACCCAACAAGACATGGCAAATGCTCCCCCGAGCACAAAACGAAGTCATAATAGCACAAGTGGTATAACATGGCAACTGCTTCCCTGAGCACACATGATACATACCATTGCATAAACATGCATATCAACAATTAGTAATCAGACATGCTCGGTATCAATCTCAGGCACATAGCATTTCCCAATGCATATTACACTCGTAATTGTCCGGATTATTAAACGACCTCTCAGGTCTACAACCAAACCCCCACCGGTGTCTTCCAGCGTAACCGGGCATCGTCCAGCTTCGTCGGGCACGGTAACATCCGGAACCCCCGTCTAGATAGCATTCCATAAGGAACGGTCCGGCATCAACCGCGACAAGGCATCGTCTAGAACCCCCGCCTAGACGGCATCAGAACCCCCGCCTAGCATCGTCTAGAACCCCCGCCTAGACGACACTATCATGACCATGCATGCAATCCATCACTCATTACCAATTCTTATCTTCAAGGATTAGCCGATGCAAGTGTTTATGACGTACATAACTCTATGAATTAAGATGTCATGGAATGCATTTATTCTAAATATTATGGCATTGTCTAGCCAATTAATGAATCCAAACAACCATTAATAAACCAAACTCAGCCATCAAACATCCCAAATCATCCACAACCAAATCAACCATCAATTAATCAAACATGATCGACCATTACACCGACACATGATTAGCCACTTGGTTAAACCACAATTCAGCCACTAATTAATCAAGAACTAAACCACTAAACTATAATCATGGTCAGCCTCTAAATCAATCCGAGTCAGCCACTAATCTAACACAAAATCGGCTACTAAACAATCCACAAATCAGCCACTAATCAGCCACTAAACAGCCCTTAAACCACATCCATTAGTCACCTATTATCCTAGTCAAGGTTTGGGAAGCAACTTACAAGAAAACCTAAGCAAGAAGCCAAGCAAGCGGCAGCAGCAGCCACGGCAAGGGTGGCGAACGGTGAGCGGCTATGGTGGAGAATGGCAGACGGCAACAACGCACAGTGTGAATGGCGGTGCAGGTGGCTGGTGACAGCGAGGTGGTGACGGTGGCGAGATGGTGGTGTGATGGTGATGGCCGAACAAGAGAGAGGGAGAAAACGGTGGTGGCGGGTGAGCAATGGCATGAACGGCGGCCGGTCACGGTAGCTCACGGCGGTCGGAGATGGCGGACGATGGCTAGTGATCGATGATGGTCATGAG